AGTGTCAGCATTCTACTGGAGTATTATGCTGCCGGGTTGTGTACTTATGTACTAAACAAATATATGTTCAATTTTCAGTGAAAACAGTGTTGTTGTTTTTTTTATTAGAAAAAAAATACTTATTTCACTACACTCTCAAAGGAACTATTGTTGCCTATGGCAATCTTTCCAACATTTTCACTCACAAGGGTTTAATGCATCCTGCTTTAACAATTTTAAAATTAGGAAAGAAAAAATGGTGATGATGAGGATGATGATGATGCAGATGTGATAATGAAGGATAGAGAAATCAAGTTGGAATACAAATCCTGTGCCTATGAATGTCTAGGGAAAGCATGGCCAACCAGTAAAGAGACACAAGGTATGTACAAAGTATTTCATATTATTGACTTCTCCCTAACTAATCATATTGCCCCTTAGCTCCACAGTCAAATGTGACACTAACAATGACTTGTTTAATCATATTTTTGTTTCCTAGCAACTTATCAAGTTGAGTTCTGTAAATTATTGAGTCGTGGACTTAAAGTAACTACAATCAAAATCCAGTTGAAGATCATCAAGTCCATTGAATTATTCATAGAAAGGTACACTTATTCCTTGAACTGTTAGAGCTGGCTGGGGGCCGTAAATAATTTCTTGAATTGTTCGAGCCACATTTTACCCATAATTCCTCTCTAGAATATCAAAATGATGGACAACTAAAACTAATTAAAGAGTTGAATACTAGTATTAATACAACAAGAAGTGGTTTAGAAAAAATGTAAATTGCATTCCTCAGCATTCGCTTTTTCAACTGAGAATATCATGTTTTTAGTCTAGTCTTCTTTAAATAAAATAGATAAAACATAACATTGCTTTGGATGCTACCATTATTTGTCCATGGTAGCAAGCTTGATACATTACATGGCTACACTATATTACCTGTACAGGTATATAAATGTACCAAAATGAGCCAAGTATGGGTGTAAAGTACAGGCCGTACTTTTCAGAAAATAGCAAGTACGGGTGATATTTGTAGCGAGTACATGTGATATTTGTAGCGAGTACATGTGATATTTGTAGCAAGTACATGTGATATTTGTAGCGAGTACATGTGATATTTGTAGCCAGTACATGTGATATTTGTAGCCAGTACATGTGATATTTCTGGCGAGTACATGTGATATTTGTAGTGAGTACATGTGATATTTGTAGCCAGTACATGTGATATTTGTAGCGAGTACATGTGATATTTGTAGCCAGTACATGTGATATTTGTAGCCAGTACATGTGATATTTGTAGCGAGTACATGTGATGTTTGTAGCGAGTACATGTGATATTTGTAGCCGTACATGTGATATTTGTAGCGAGTACGGGTGGTATTTGCAGTGATGAACAGATTGTATTTGAAGCAAGTACATGGAGATAATTTAGCGAGTACGGGTAATAAAAAGTAGCGAGTACGAGGGGGGTAAAATATAGCGAGTATGGGGTGGGGGTATTGCAGGGTTAAATATATGGGATTTATACAGCAATTATGGGTGCAGCAAAACACTCCATTGTAAAAGAAAATATCAGTGGTAAGAACTGAAACTAGTTCCATCTTACGAAAACTAAATGTGGACGTGAAGCAGCCTTGTTTAATTAGTTTTAACGAATGTGGTTCTTGTGCCATATGTCTGACTTGCTTTCACTGATTATGTTAAAATTTGTAATATTCCTTATACATCATGTCATAGATATACGGATATATTGGTTTGACAATCCTTTTCAATATGGCCAAATGATGGCTATTTTTGTGCTAAAAAAATCCTCAAATATCAAGCATTTCTTGCATTTATGGATGGATTTTGTTCAAACTTATAACATACATTAGACATTACAGGTTCCTGATGCACGTCATTTTATTTTTCAGATTGGATTCAAAATGGCTGACTGGCGACCATTTTGTTTTAATTATTGGACTTCTAGAGCCATATCTCTTAAAATGCTTTGACTGATTATATTCAAATTTTATATATTCGTTATACATCATGTTATATATATATATATATATATATACATGTATTCAAAATGGCTGATTTTGAATGCTGTTCCAGAGCAATATCTCTCAATATGGACAAGTACTTGTTTGACATTCAGATACAAATGTCAATCATTTTAATGTTAAAAAAATCATATTCCTGACATGGTTATATTCCAGCTATATTACTATAAACAAAACTATATATCTTAAATTTGATAACTAATAGGGACTGTGCCATGCATGGCTTGTTGTTGTTGTTGTGCGTACATATATTGTCTTCATACTATGAATTTCCCTATAACTGACCAGACAAGATTAATCTTCAAACTACAATAATAAATAAATAGACTCATTCCCCTTGGCCTGACGAGAGTGACGCAACAGTGTTCGTAATAACACTTTTGTCTAAATATAACATTGTTTCACTGTAGTGTAAATTTTTGTTGAGTAAGCTAGTTGAATCTATGGCATGATTAACACCTTGGCGTTGAGGTGTGATCACGTTGAAGACCGTAATTGTTTACGAGGTGACAGCACTATGTGACACATAGATCTCTTTTAAACACGTCATTTTTCCCGACATCAAAAATCAAGCCAAATTGATATTTTCACACAGAATGGGACAAAGGGGTAATTTTAAAACAGAGTAATTATGTCACCGTATTCACATTATAATTATTCACAGCGCATGAAGAACTTGTTCTTTCGGGTCAACAGTTTAAATTTTGATTTTTTTTTCCTAAACGAGTCTATATCTTGTCGGGGTACCCAAGCATGTCGGTAGTATCTGCATCACCGATCCATACCTGTAACACTGCCTCCAGGTCTGGGGTACGGCATCGCAGGCTATGCCACGATATCTTTTTTAGGCAACCGTTGAAATATGAAAACACTGAGCAATCATTTATGGTGTATTTGTTTTGTGGCAATCGAGTTGCATGTGCAAACAATTGCTGTCTTGGTCATAAGGTCAAGCTCTAGACCATGGAAATTAGGTCACCCTTTCAATTGCGTTAAAACAGCTTTGTCATAATTACTGGTAACTGGCAATCATGTACCGCGCTTTTACCAGCCGTCGGTGTCCTTTTTTAATCCGATATAGGCACGACTATCATTCTTCACCAGATAAAGCAGTTTGCATGTCAGTATTATTATTGTTGTTGTATAATAAATACCACCTGTACTCGCAACAAATACCACCCGTATTCGCTACAAATATCACCCATACCAAATATCACTCGTACTCGCTACAAATATCACCGATACCAAATATCACTCGTACTCGCTACAAATATCACCCATACCAAATAACACTCGTATTCGCTACAAATATCACCCATACCAAATATCACCCGTATTCGCTACAAATATCATCCATACCAAATATCACCCGTATTCCCTACAAATATCACCCGTACTCGCTATAAATATCACCCGTACTCGCTATTTTCTGAAAAGTATGGTCCATACTTTTCAAAACTTCAAAACACAATTTTTCTACTATACCCAATAATGTAAACTTTAAACCACCTGTACACCAAGAATATGTAATGTGTTTGTGGCTTTCATTTTCCTAACTGCTACTACTACAATTAAACTCCAACCTAAAACCAATGGTTTAAAAGTACCAATACCATTATTGCAGCACAAAAATATTAGATTCAAAGTTGTGTAACTATTAATATCACTAGGTTATGCTTATTTGATATGGAAGATGTGCTTTCTAAAGATGAGATGGAAATTCTTACTGAGTTACTCAATCACTTTGTTGCTCCACTTTGTCAGTGTTTAGGTAAGATACTCTAAACTTACAAACTGTTTTCCTATGATGTTTCAATATAATATGTAAACCCTTATTCAGTCCATTAGAAGATCATTAGAAGTGTTGTGTCTGCCTATCATTCTATTGTTTTCTCTATTTCACTCCACTGTATAATCGGTTATTAATACTATCAAGATGAATGCATAACTTGCATTCAAATTCATTTACTTGATCTTTTACAAAGGGAGTGACATGTTATGTTGTTTCTCTTTCAGGATATGCAAAATATGGTGCTTTAAAACTTGATGTTGTTAAAGTTTTAGGGAAATTAGTAACAAAAGTCAAAGGTGAGCCATGTTAAATTTTGTAAAAGTTGACTAATGCCTTGAATTCATTATATTTATGGCATTATATCTATCAATATCACTGAATTCAAAAATATCTTTATAAGTACTGCCTAATGCCCACTGATCAATCATCACAATATGCCCACTGATCATATCACTACAATATGCCCACTGATTATATCACTACAATATGCCCACTGATCATATAACTACAATATGCCCACTGATTATACCACTACAATATGCCCACTGATCATATCACTACAATATGCCCACTGATTATACCACTACAATATGCCCACTGATCATATAACTACAATATGCCCACTGATCATATCACTACAATATGCCCACTTATCATATCACTACAATATGCCCACTGATCATGTCACAATATGCCCACTGATCTTATCATCACAATATGCCCACTGATCTTATCATCACAGTATGCCCACTGACCATATCATCACAGTATGCCCACTGACCATATCATCACAGTATGCCCACTAACCATATCATATCACAAAATATGCCCACTGATTATATCACAAAATATGCTCACTGATTATATCACAAAATATGCTCACTGATCATATCATCACAATATGCCAAATGATCATATTTGTTTTTTAACTTTTAGATAAAAATTTAACATCTGTTTTGAGTGATGAATTACGGAATATCCTGGTAAAATCCCTTGATGTGACATCATCAGAATCACATCCACAACTCAAAGACAATGCAACAGGTCTAAAGAAGATAATTAAAGAAATGCAATAAACCATCTCTTAATTCCTTTTATACTTCTTAATGATTCTATCATTGCTTTTTACTTTGATTCTAATGATCAGATTGCCTCTCAAATAAAAACATTAACTTATTGACCTTTTATGTTGTCTTAATGGGAATGAAGCTTTGCAAATGTGAACAATGGCACGTTTACGTGACCCTATACACAAGGCTAACTGGCAGTAGTCACCATTGTTAAAATGTGAACAATGGCACGTTTACGTGACCCTATACACAAGGCTAACGGGCAGTAGTCACCATTGTTAAAATGTGAACAATGGCACGTTTACGTGACCCTATACACAAGGCTAACGGGCAGTAGTCACCATTGTTAAAATGTGAACAATGGCACGTTTACGTGACCCTATACACAAGGCTAACTGGCAGTAGTCACCATTGTTAAAATGTGAACAATGGCACGTTTACGTGACCCTATACACAAGGCTAACGGGCAGTAGTCACCATTGTTAAAATGTGAACAATGGCACGTTTACGTGACCCTATACACAAGGCTAACGGGCAGTAGTCACCATTGTTAAAATGTGAACAATGGCACGTTTACGTGATCCTATACACAAGGCTAACGGGCAGTAGTCACCATTGTTAAAATCGATCAAGTGATGGGGACTGCAGAAAATTTAATAGGATGCATGACGTACACTTATTATGGAGAGTGACACATCATCCGTGAGAGACTGTTGAGGTGAGGTGAGAGAGATTTTTGCCCAGGGCTATGAGGTTCCCTTGACGAAACTTGATTTTAATAGATGGCGCCTTCTAGAGACCTGGACACAACTCAGTGGTCATCTTTCTTGCAAGTGATACAACGATGTGATTTACAATGTATTGTGTGAAAATAAGAGAAAATAAAATATTCCTGTATAAGTGAAGCCAATTTTCATGGCTCAACTATGTTAACATTTTAAATTTCCCAATCGTAGAGTGTCCATGTAAGGCATTGAAGTAGAATGCAGTAATCATTTATTACCATACCAAACACCATGATTACACAAAACCTTGAACCTACAAAGCAGGATTTTAAAGAGAAATCGAATATGATTAGGCAGAATAATCAATGCATATGGTAAATTATTTTTAAGGAACACATGACATGACTAGACATGAAATGATAAATGATACAACCTTGACTGATGTACATGGCAAATCAGACATGTCAGACAACATGATACTTATTGATTGTACTAGTTTTTGGTCTCTGCACCACAATGGTAGCCTGCACTCAGGGGAGAGATTTTTAAGGTAGTGGGAAACGAACTTGTTCTGTGATTTCCAGTAACCTGCAGCCAGCACATGGTCAATGGTACTTCCATTGAGGTACACCAATAGGTTTTCAAGAAGGTATGAAGGCAGTGGTATATCCAAGAGTGGGCTTTAAGATGTGCAGTTAGAAGTTGCTGCTGATTTAAAAGCTCCATAGGTGGGGGTCGACTGACCCAGACATTACCTGATCTCCTGGCAGGCTGTTGACTGTTACGAAAGGGAGAAATTTTAGGTGCACCTGGGTGGGGTGGGGTGGGGTGGGGTGGTCGTTTTCGCATGAACTTTCTAAACATGTACAGTAAACCTGTGCTGATTGATAAACATCAGTATGGAATTTAGACTGGTTTAATGCTTATATTGAATCTATTCAAATTATGAATGTCATATCAAATGTCAATGGTGGATTATTGAAAATGTACCAACTGACAACACCAACTGTTTGTACAGTTTATAATGGTCAGTTTATGAGGTCATACCAAGTGTCAGAACTGCCAGTATAAAGCTATAATGTTTTTTAGCAACCATTCCACTGACCGTACAAAACACATACAGAGGTATCTTTGAGAAGACATGTACTACCAGGACTTAAGGGTCAAGTTGACTGGTGAGTGCAGAGCTTCTGTGAAGGTCAGCCAATCTCAACACCTGATGTTTGACAAGCCTTTCATCTCGTCATAGTGTCAACTTTTACAGTCAAATCTGGCAAGGGGTTAGTGCACCATGATGGATCAACAGACACAACATGAAATCAGGGAATGCACATTCTCAGTCACATCTATTGGAAGGAACTAAAGTAAGTTCAGCTCAACCCAGAGGTTTTTCAACCATCAGTTTAAAGTAAAATCATTCTGAGATATAACAACATGAATATCACCTACCCCGATACTTCCAATATGTCTTTACTATAACAGAGAAGGATAAAAGCTTTCAACAGTGTCTAAATAACTGTGTTAATCCCAGTCTCAAAACATCCCCATCCATATCTTGGACATGCATGGGCTGATCTCAAGTTCACACAAACATCATTTGTCTTGGGAGATGTATGCATACCAATGTGTTTCCTGGTCTTATTATTTTTGTGCTCAAAATGCACAAAAGTAAATCATTTCTGCAATTCCAGAATCAAACTTGGTCGTGTATGAATTGATTTCGGATTATGAGATCTGGATGTACCTCTGCCATTTCGTAAACCACATCTCTGCCTTGATCAATCACACTCAAATTTTATGTGTGCATTGTACATATATCATACATCATGTCACAAGTATGTACTTACATCAGTTGATAGTCCAATTCAAGATCATTTTAATATTAATGCATCAAACATTGCTGGTACCGTGTTGGTACATACATTAAACATACATTGTAATGGGAACTTAATGCACAGCATTTTGTTTTGTTTTCAGATTAGATTCGAAATGGCCAACTAGTAACCATGTGTATAAGATTTCTTAATTTTGTAATTTAAAATAAGATTCCCTATTCTTTGTAAAAAAAAAAAGGTAAAATAAAGTCACACAACACAATAATAAACCACAAATTAACCCAATATTAACAATTTAATATAAAAAAAATAAGTACAAGAATCTTAATATTGTGTAATAAAGAAAGACTAGTCGCCAAATACAACAATGGTATATTATTAACTGCTCATCAAGCAATAGATTTCACTTAAATTCTGTTTTATTCACTCTGAGCTTATATATAATTACTGATATGGCTGTAGTGTGACTCCTTAGCTTGCTGGTTATATACAAGTTAAATATAATTACAATTAAAGGTAGAATATGGCATTCATAAGTAAGTTCTATGCATTGAGAACATGTGTATCAATAACCAACTGTTACATATATATAGTTTGACAGATTTACATTTACAGTTCATGCATTATAAAATAAAAATACAATTAGTATTATTAATGCATATTACAGGGTAAATAATCAATACAAATAAATGACTTCAAAGACTTTTCAATAGTAGTAAATTTTACTATCACCAACATTAATGAAATCAGGATTTATAGATTATTGGAATTACTAAAACAAAGATTTTAATATAAACTCCAGGCTTTGTATTGTTTACAACATGTTAGTATATTAGTAATAAATGTTATCAATAAAGTACTTCAAATATAACTTTGTACTCTTAATCATTCAAAATAAAATAATGTAATGCACTTTTTTATGTATTTTGTAAATTAACATTTCAAAACAAATAATTCTTATCC